GCCTCGCATGCTTCCGCTACCGTCCGCGAGGGGGAGGAAGGGAAGGAGGCTAGGAGGGGAGGACAGACAGAAGAGGAGAGAACCACGTGGTCGCTACATGTCTTCTGCATGTGCGCTAGGACACTTGCATGTCTTGTCCGTCTGCGCTAGGCACTTTTGCTTGTCACTTGTGCTTGTCGGTGTGCGCTAGGTTCGTTTGCGGTGCTAGGGCACGCGTGCCAGACATGTACAACAACGCTACAATGGGCCTGGGGTTGCCTTCGGGGCGGGGGGTGCCGTGGGGGGGGCCACTCGCTAGGACCTGCGGGCCCTCACGTTCCCAGAGCCTTCCTCAGGCCCCGCTAGGTACTGGCTTAGGAAGGGTCGCTAAGGCCTTCTCCCGCAGCTGGCAGCTACCTCGAGGTAGCTAGAAGATTTTAGGGAGGGGGGGGTGGAGCCCCCCCTCCGATCATTCCCTGCCTCCTCGGAGGCCGCTATGTCGGGAAACCAAAGTGGAGGAGGAGGTGGTGCTAGCGGGCCGGCGGATGATGCCGATGGCCCCGCTAAGGCAGTCCAGATCCTGGAGACGCTAAGGGCCATGAGGCAGCTAGTCACTTTCTGTCCGGACGATCTGCCCGAGGCCTTCGCTAACCACTTCTCTAGAGGCCAGATCGCGGAGATGGCAGCAAGGCTAGAGGACGCTAGGCTGGCCATGGATGCGGACCAGCCGCCCGCTAGACCGGCACGTGATCCTGGTGCCCAACGCCTCTGGCTAGCCGGAGGCCGAGCCGCTAGCCCCCAGAGGGACCTGGAGTACCGCGCGCTAAGGGCTACCTACGGCTTCTATAACCTGCTTTAAAGCGGGTTGATTGCTTGATACCGGGTTATTGACCAAGTCGGGGAAAATACCTGGTTCTTATACATAAAACATGGTTTTATCCTTTAACCTGCTTTTTGGCATATGATGGTTGCAGAAATGATTGTGAAGGCACAAATTGCAGGCTCGAGAGGAGCCTTTGTGGTAGATTGTGTGGCGAGGGCCCGAAGCTTCGATGCCTGGGCCTTGGAAGTCTCATTCAAGTGCTGGTCACGAGCGATTTCTTGCATTCTGCATCATGCAACAATCGTAGCTCTTTCTGGCTACAGGACTCGTTTCGTGGTTTCCTCGGGGTTTGGGGTCATGGCGGGGCCCAAATTCGATGCCGAGGGCTTGAGAGATGAGTGGGATTCGATTGAGGGCATCCGCCTGCGGCTTCGCAAAGGGAAACAATTGCTTGCTGGTACAATGTCTGAATACACGATCAGCAGATGTGTGGAAAATACAGAGGTCTTGACCCCTGTATTGCTTCGATCTGTGGCGTGCGACCACAAGCGCCCAGAGGTGGAGCTTCTGAGAGAAGAGATCGAAAATCTGCTGATGATGAATCAGAGAGAGTTTTCCGAGTCGCATATTGATGATATGGCGTGGGAAGTTCGAAAACTTCTTACTTTCGTCAAGAGGAAGGCCCAGCGACAGGAGGTTTCCTTAGCTTCCCAGCTGAACTCAGTTTTCTTGTATGTATACAATGAAACCGGCTTTACCTGCTTCAATAGCTGGACCCTCATAAGCCTCCATATCCCAGGTTCCTGACTTCCAGGATTTATGCCTCATCGTGAACCCGGAGTTGCAGGCTCGAGCACCGATGTTTTTCTAAGCCAGGTTCATCTCCAGCATTTCAGTGCTCAAAACTTGACTTCTGTGTGCTTTGTGTCGTGAGCTGGCGGGATTGAGCCAAGGATTTATGGGGTTTGTGCAGGTTTAGCCTAGCTATATTATACACGTGTGCAGAACCCATAGCGCTCAGCAGGAGCTTGTCGACGAGCGCCGTCGGCCTGCAGCCGAGGATGAGGCCATTCATACACACATCACACATAACCCTATAAACCCTATAAGCCCTATAAACCCTATAAACCCTATACACATATACATATATACATATAAATATGTATAACCCTGAATTCCTAAACCCTCAACTCTACATGTCTTTATACAACATGCAGTGTACATGGATCGAGGTAGCTGCTGATGATGATGCTGGTTCAGCTAGTGGCGAAGAAAATTCTGCAGCAGCCTCGGCAGCTACAGCTCCGATGAGTGCCCCAGCTGTGATCCCACCCAATCCGCCTGCTATGGTAGAGACAAGCCCAGCTTCGATGAGCCCCCCAACGGAGACTGACAATCCACCTGCTAGTGTAGAGACGAGACCAGCTCCGATCATGGCCCCAACGGTTGCAGAGCCGATTCCAGCTGCGATGAGCTCCCCAGCAACGCCCATGGCAGAGCGGATCAGTGCCCCAATGGTCACTCCCAGTCCACCTGCTGCTGCATCAGAGCCAAGCCCAGCTTTGGTGAGTCCCCCAACAGCCCCTGTGACACCTGCATCTACAAGTCCACCCGTGACGCCTCCCCCACGAGTTTCGTTGAGTTCCCCGGTTGCACATAGGCTTCGTGAGTGAGGTAAACTCTTCTTGACCATGTGATGGTTGCACATTCTGTAAAACCGCAACATGCAAGACTCTGTGGCAATGATTAGTCTGGCATTCGGTGTCCGCTGCTTCATGTTATTCAGGATCTCCATCCGTGCCGACCCCGGAAGCGGACAAAACCCTGGCCCCGGATGAGGATGAGATTCGCAAACGACAGTTGCTGCTCAAGCAAAGGATTTTGCAGGCACAGTTGAGCTTGCGGACGCTTCTTAGCTGCCTTCTGTGCATGTTCGGTCGATTGTAAATTCGAGTGAAAGCATTTTTGCAGCCTCACATTATCGATCCAATGCGATGATTGTATATAAGGCTTCGGAATGCAAAGAAGCCGGCCTCCCCAGCTGGTGCCGGATCTCCTGCTCCTGTGGTCCCTCCTGCAGTGCCAAGTGTCTTATCATCGATTCACATGCAGTGTCGCGCAATGTCACTGCTAGAGTTGGTGAGAGTGCTGTTCTAACCACATCGCAGGAACTTTGGATACTGACGAGACGCAGGTGGTGAACATCCTTGACTGTGCTACCCCGCCTGACTCTGCTGGTAGCTTCGACAAACGTTTGCCAGCTACTTTCCTTCGTGATCAGTATCAGCATGGTGCAGCAGCCGATGGATCCATAACGAAACTCATGATTGCTGCACCCGAGCCGATTGCTGAAGCATCCAAGCCGATTGCTGAACCCGAGCCGATTGCTGAAGCACCCAAGCCGATTGCTGAACCCGAGCCGATTGCTGAACCCGAGCTGATTGCTGAACCCGAGCCGATTGCAGAAGCACCGGAGCCTCTGGATGAGCCCATTCCGGGCGAGTCGACGGAGGCATGCTGTGCATGGCCATGCTATATAATGCTGGGCACTGACATGACTTTACACAGCCATATCAAACCCTATAGACCTTAAACCCTATAAACCTAGCTTTTAATATTATCAACCCTATGTAACTAGATATATATGCACAAGGGCCGCACTCGCAACTTAGAAGAACATCTCTGAGCTATATATAGTCAATGAACTTGAACAACCGATCTGCTAGGATATGTATGCTCAGCCCGGCTGAAGCCCGTAACCCTATAAACCTTATATAAATTAACCCTCTAAGCCCTATGAACCCTAAACTTACCCTAAACCCTAAACCCTCTCCTCTGTCCTCGGCAGGTGCTCACTCGGCGGCAGCAGATGGGCCTGCGCAAGCGCAAGAAGGATGTGAACAGGGCCGCCAAAGCAAGCACGCCAGCCCCCAAGAACAAGATTCGGCGCAAGAAGTCAGGGCTGTGCAAGCTGCGCAAAAGCAAGCGGGCCTTGGCATCCGTGGCTTGTGGCTCCCGGGATCCGTTGCCGGAGGCTGAGGACGAGGCCTGGTGGTCACGAGCAGACGACTGGGTTTGGGATGATGAGTTGAATAATTATGTGAAGCTCGAGAAGGGTCAGGGCTATATCAGCATCGAGACGCCGGAGGACGAGCATGCAGAGCCGGCTTCCAAAAGGGCCAAGACCACACGCAGGGTCAGAGGCAAGACCCCGGAGGCTGAGTCGGAAGAGTGTGCCACCCCGGCTCCAAAGCCGAAAGCCAAAGCAAAGGCAAAGGCCCAGGCGAAGTCCAAAGCAAAAGCTTCCCCGAAGGCTTCCCCGAAAGGTGCTGCAAAGGCTAAGAGGGCCAAGGCAAAGTCCGAAGCAGAAGCTTCCCCGAAGGCTTCCCCGAAAGGTGCTGCAAAGGCTAAGATTGCCAAAGCAAAGTCCAAAGCAGAAGCTTCCCCAAAGGCTTCCCCGAAAGGCGCTGCAAAGGCTAAGGCGAAGCTCGGACGACGATGCCGAGAGTCGACGGTGGAGGCTGATAATGTTGAGGATCGTGATGTGGAGTGGGTTTCCGATTGGGTTCGCGAGACGAATCTCACAGGGTCACTTGATGATTTCAAGCAGTCTGTCAAGCCATTCCTCCCCGACAATTCGTGTGGATACCGGTGCAATATCTACTGGACAACGGCTAAGTGTGGTGTGACACTCCGGTACACTGATGAGTCTGGTGAGAAGAAGCAAACCGATCTTGTGACGTATGGCTTCGGCAAGACACGTCTCGCAACAGCCGTTGCGATTTCCTGTGCCTGTTCCGTTGCAGTTTGGTTGCATTGGTCTAATCTATCTAGTAAACACATGCCATGTAAACATGCTCCTACGAAAAGTACCCCTAAAGTCCCAAAAGGCCCCGCATGAACTTATTAAGACCCTCCTGCCCAGGTACGGCACCTCCAGCAGGAGGAGATCGTGGATCCCAACCATGCCGAGATCCTGCCGGTCATCGACTATTGGTTGACAGCCGGCCGTGTTACATTCGAGATCCTGGAGCATGAAGGGCTGTAGGTGATGCAGTGAAGTCAGACTACATCAATTTCGGCACATGTATCCTTGACATGCCAGCATGGCCGAATGCCGGGGCATGACATTCTTGGTAGCTATGTGTAGCTCATGCCAGGGTTGTGCATTGCTGTAGGATGAATAGTAGCACTGTGTTCGCCTCCGAGTTTTGCGGCGTCCGCCATGCAACATACAGCACTGAAGATCTTATATCAATATGTCAATATGCAGACCGGCCTAGTGCAGCTCTATACGTTTTGTTGTCGTGGTAGGCGATGCAGCATCACTGCTTGGTGGTGCAACGATAAGAGTTGGCATCATCATGTTTTCACCGAAACAGTGGATCTATGGCTATGGAGCACGCCAGGGGTGACAGGCATCATTGCAAAACTCGCGGGTTCATTGCTGTGCACACTGACATGAGCTGTCGATGTTGCTGGAGATTTTCTACCAAGTGCATTCACCAATTAGGCAGATGTGTCTCTAAACAGACAACTTTATAGACGAAGACATGATGTTTGCGGCCCAGGTCATCATGGGCCGCCCGCGGCGCAGGACTCGAAAGACGACACATGCTCGACGAAGCAAGCAGCGGAAGCACAGGCTGAAGAGTGTGCGAGGCATGTTTGATACCCAGCCATGTTTGCTATTGCCGTCGAAGAGATGCTCAGTTTAGTTGTGCATGTGCTCAATGATGCATCATCTCGATTAGCATGCACGCTGTACCGTCTGCATGTCGCTGCTGCTGGAGCACTGCTGGGGTTTCAAGCTCGTACATCCTGTGTGCAAAGCAATGACACTCAAGCCTCTTATGAACTTATTAAGCCAGTGACTTGAAGTTGCCATCACCGCTGACCACCCGCAGTCACTTAAGTGCTATAAATCCCCAAAGCAACCAAAGCCCTGCCAATCCTTTGACACGATGATCTCCGTCGATCTGCTCGTGCACAACCTGGCCACTCTGGGTGCGCCCCGTGCATTTCGGCTGATAAAACGCGGAATAATTTATGCTTCGGGGGGTTTATATATTAAGGGCTTAGGGGTTTGGGGGTTTTGGGGTTTGGGTCTTTTCTAGAGGTCTTGTAGGTTTTGTATGATTTTGCAGGGGTATATATTCTTATATATTATATATATATATATGGCTACCTAGGCCGGGGCTGATAGTCGTGGGCTCAGGGTCTTGGTCCAGGTTGTTGGTGAGTTTAGGCGCCAGAGGGCCGATCTAGATTGTTGGGCAGTTTAGCTTGGCCTTTAGGTTGAGTTGTTGAATTTTAGCTAGGGTATTAGAGCAGCATCAGATCATCAGCGGCAGCAGCAGCAGCAGCAGTTTTAGACTACTACATATATGGCGCAGCATACCACTGGACTGCAGTCTACAGTCTAGTTATGTGGACTACTAGCACAGTAGCAGTAGCACCGGGTGGTACAGACGTCATCGTGGTTTTCCATGTAGTATAGCCGAACTACTTAGCCAGCAGCTTTATAGTCTCATGGCATTCTTTGATTACAGAGCTGCGGTCTGTTGTCAGGACAGACATCTAGGCAATGAAACCCAAGCCCAGTGAAGAACCCACAGGACCCGATTCCCAAAGTACCAAAACCCCAGGCTGCAACGAAACCAATTTCGATTATAAACCCTAAAAACCCTAAACCCCCAAGGCCCAAACCCTAAAGCCCGAAAGCCCTCGCTATATAAACCCTATATACCCCAAAACCCTAAGCCCTAAAAACCCTAAACCCTAAACCTAAAGCCTTAAAACCCTCAAACCCAAACCGTAAACTCTACACCAAACCCTATAAACCCTAAACCCTAAAACCCCAAACCCAAAGCCCTAAACCCTAAAACCCTAAAGCCCTAAACCCGAAATAAACCCTATAAACCCTAAACCGTGAGCTTTAAGCCGGGATCACGTCTTCGATTGCAGGCACTACCCGAGAGAAGCCACGACCGAGACCCTTGAATCTCCAAGCAAGCCCATGCTCAAGCCCTGTAAGCCCTCGATCAGCCTCGGCTCAGTGATACTTAAACAGCTTCATCAAAGATAACCCCAAATTTCGAATCCCAATCCCTTCCCGGTAGTTCAGGTTATATCTATATATATATAGGGTGTATATACGTGTATAGGAGTTCAGGGTTTATATAGGGTTTAGCTTTGCATGCCAGTACGTATGTACTTATGAACTCGGATCTATAATCATATACCCACAAATAGATATGTAAATATAAATATACACACATATATATAGATATGTATGTACATATATA